AAATTTTACATAACGGTTGAGCACCATTACGATCATTATCTAATTAATTGAGTGTGCTACTTGAGAACACCCTAAGTGTGGAAATTCACGTTTTTATAGCATCTAATGCATTGACCAATTAGTTATGAGATTTTGTATATCACTCCGTTCCTGGTATAAAGTAATATGGAATCACATGCAGAAAATCGTGCACAGAAGTCCAATAAATCAAAATATCTAGCAATTTGAAAATGTAGATTATGACGTAAATCGTCATCGTTATGTGCTACGTAAAATAAACTAAATTAAGTTTATCGAGGATTATTTATTTTTATTATTTAGAATAATGTAAATTTTAGGTAATAGTGACGATAATCAATGGCGATGAATAAATAAAATTTTCTGTTATTAGCGACATTAAATTAAAGGATTAATACATAATAAATTCACTTCTTTTTCCTTTTAAATCACCGTTTTTCATATAAATACAACCCAACCATCACTCGATAAGTGAAGAATTTTTTGAACGCAATTAAATTTGCGCAGCGCATTCATTGCTCTTACGCAAAGAGTACCTTCTACAGCCAGTTAAAATTTATGAAATCCAAAATTATCAAAAAAAGCCAACTCGAAGAAAATCATTTACCAAATTAAATGTCAATTTTAAATGCAATATATACCGAATTTATTGTATAGGTAAAATTTCATCCCAGATTTTTTTTTTCAGACTGACATTTATACTTTCTTCGTGATTTATTATTACATGATTTTCACTCGCCTTACCCTTAAATATGATTAGGCACTAGAACCCTGATATACCTAACCTGTAAAGTTAAGTTCAATTCGAACGCAAATAAATATAACCATACGTATTTTAAAAATGGCGATCACACACTTTGAAAAACTTTCGAATAATTACATTAATCTATTAGAGAACGAAGAAGATTTTGATGTGATCATTAAAGTGGGAAATTATCCGAACATAAAGGAATTTAAAGCACATTCAGTCATTTTAAAATATAGGTCATTGTACTTTCGTAATGAATTAGCAAAGGCTGTTAAAAATACGAAAAATATTACTATAATCAATTTAGCACCACAAGTTCCAATCTCGCAATTTGAATTTATTATAAAGTATATGACACACTTTCATTTTATCTTTTTATATAAAATTATCATACAGGTATTTTTTAACTTTATTTGATAAATAGGTATATTTATGGTGGTTTTATTTCGTTAGAAAATCTTGACGGCGAATCTATTTTTAATCTTACCGAAGCAGCTAATGAACTTCTTTTTGAAGAATTAACGAAATGCCTTGAGAATCATTTAGTCGAAGCAAAATCTCACTGGTTAACTTCTCATTTTGTGCATGTTTATAAAACTTGCACCGAGAAGAATAAATTTGAAGGGCTACAGAAATGGTGTAATAATATTGCAGCAAAAAAATACCCAAATCACGATCTATTACCAAAAAGAGATTTACCTTTTCTTTCCTTCCCGGATCAGGATGAAAATTATTCAAAGGACACTCCATCCGAATTATATATTAAACATTTTAAGGTTGCTGGTCAAGGCACCGTTGGGTTGCAATTTCATGCCAAAGAAAGATTTCAAATTGTACTAAATTGTGATAAAAAATCATCATGCGGCGAAAAAGATGTAATAGTCTTGGATGTGGGAAAAGAAGTCACCTATTTCCGAAAGCGCAATAATAATGATGAAAGTAGTATTTTAAAGAGTACAGTGGAACGAAAAGCTCTTCTAGATGATAAAAAAGTTCAGCTTTATTGGCTTAGTCTTGACAAGAAAAACCGTCGTTTGCGTTATGGAAAGGGACCTATGCAAAACCAATTAACTGTCTTTTCCTATGATTTTCCGCAAAAAGTCCCTCAAAAAAAGTCACAAGAAATCGAAGATTACAAATGGATTGAAAATTTAAAATATATCGCAGTCTGCTGTAAATCAATCAGTAAAGATGATTTCGAGGGAGAGAAGCCAACAATTAAGGTGTTATTTTGGAGGCTTCCGGTTACTATGGACTTGCCACCTTTTATCATCAGGCACGAAGATGCAACCCTTGAAGAACTAGAAACGGGGAAAGTTACCGTTATTGACAATCTTCCAAAAAAATGCCAAGAACTTTATTGGAATGTTGTTGATATCACCCTTAACACTCCTGATTTCCCTGATTTTGCCGATGCTATTGATCATAGCATCAAGACACCAGGCCTAATCTGCAATAAAAAGCTTAAAGAAAAAGCATCTGGATTTGGCGATCCCAATCCCAAGGCAACATATCTTCGCATCACGTTAGGAGAAGATAAAGGGAACTCTCCTGGAGTTCCTTACGTCTTGGAAATCTGGCCTAGTGGACACTATTCTCCTATTCACAGTCACTCCAACTCCTTCGCCGTCATCAAGGTCCTATATAATGAAATCGTTACTCGATACTTCGCGGGGCTGGATCCTGAAGAAAAAAAATGGTACTATCAGGTTTCCTTTCAAGAGGGTGAAATTACATGGATTTCAGATAAATTTTACCAAACTCACCAACTTGTGAACCGGACCAGAAAAATGTGCGCCACGATACAATGTTATCAATATAGAAATAGTGATAACGACCATTACGAATTTTTTGACTATATCGATAAGAAGGATGGCATTAAGCATTTCAAGCCTAATTCTGACTGGCACTTTACTGAATTCAAAAACTTGATTAAAGAGGAATGGAAACAGTACAAGTATATATCTGATTGTGATTTGTCAGTGAGATAATACAAAAGTTAGATGAGAGCTAAAATTCAAGTATTTTTATAATAAATACAAAAAAAAATCGAGTTAATTTGATAAAATAGCATTGAGAAATTAATTTTTAAAGTCAAAATAAGGAGATATATAAAAAAATTAGCTATACAACAAGATTTTCTAATTTTAATATAGAAATTAATTCAATTTTATATTAAAATAAAAAAATCTAGTTATACGTATAGCCAATTTTTTTCATATTTATTCTAATTAAATTTTTTTCTCAATTATTATTTTATCAAGTTAACTCAAATTTATTATTATATTAATTTTTGGAATTTTGGAATTTAATTCTAATTTTTTTTATTGAATTTTAACTAATTTCAATTAGATTGATTAGCTCTTATCTAACTTTTAATTTTAGTAACTAAAAAAATATGAAAAAAATTTACTAATATATGCTTTTTAATTCTATTTATACAGCAATAAAAGGCTTAAAGCTATGGCTTTTAAATTTAAAAAATCAAGAGAAATAAATTATTTATAATTTTAACAATAAGTTTTAATTTGAATTTTAATATCTTTATATAATTTAATTAATATATTACTTATATCAATTATTTTATTATTTAGATATATATTTTTAAATAATAAATATTGTTGCTAATGCTAAAATTGGCAAACACTAAGCTATGGGTCTTAATTTAAAATATAAGGGGTGAAATAGTGATGGCGCAAAATTTGGCATTCCTACATTTTTAACAAATCAGATTTAAGAAATGTATATTAAAGGCAAAAAAGAACAAGAATCACAAAAAACTCATAAAATTTGCAAGGAAAATTAGCCCTTTGTTATTAATAAAAGTTTTTAGTACAAATATTTAGATATATTCTTTTTTATTTGTATTAATGCAAGCATTAATTTTTAGACAAAAATTAAGATATCATTGTTGTTTAATTAGTCATGGGACTGCCAAATTTTTGCGCAATCACTATTTTATTCAATTTGAGCCCTATTAAAATTTATATATACTTTTTAATTATTAATTCTAACCTAAGCCCTAATTTAACTTTAAATAAAACAATAAAACATTTTAAAAATTTTATATTAAAATATATTTGAATTTTAATATAGCTAATTTAGCATTAGCTACAACAATAATATTTTTTTGTATTAAAGGTGAGGTTTTGTCTCAATCTTTATTAATTTATAAGAGTATTTTCAAGGGCTACAGTACTCTGATTACTATTTATATTGATTTCAAATATAAATTACAAGATAAAAAAAAAGACTTAGACTAATTTATCAATAATATAAAGCTATTAGAGTATTAATATCAATTTGATAATAATAAAATTTAATATTAACAGATTATATATATAAATATAACATAATTCAAAACAACTATAATATCATAAACATCATTCAAAAATCAAGACCTATAGTTTTAGAAATGTTAAAGCTTTTAAGAGCATTCTGAAATGTCTGTTTAATACCGTACCAATAACCCTTTACACGTCGCCTTATATATATTACCAAATTCTCCTTAGCAATACAGCATTGTGCAACAAATAAGCTATACAACACTAGTGTCGACCAGAAAATTAGTTAGAATAAATAATCTTATGTTACATTAATAATTATTAGCAAATGTGAAACAAAGACGATCCAAACTTTATTTATGAATATTTAATGCTATAATAGCACCAGGTACGTACAAAGTCGAAATTCTTGTATGTTACTAATCCAATCAGTTTACTAACATTATAAAAAAAAAAAAAAATACAAGACATCAAATTTAATTGTAAGAGTAATGCTAACAATAATTGAGATGGAATAACATTCATATTTTTACAGTATATACGTAAAAGATTCTTGATATACAGTCAAACCTCTCTATAGTCACACTCTTGGAATACAAAAAAGCATGATTATAAAGAAGTATATTAATAACAGAGATCAAATTGATTATATTTATATAGGAGGTGACTATAGAGATGTTTGATTGTAGTTATTAAATAGATTAAATGTTTTGTTGTCAATGTACAGAATGATTCACCTTTACTTTATGCTACTGAGTTTAATTCATTTATCATTTCTCAGAATTAATAGGCTCCCAGTATTTCCTAGCTTTTTCTATGGATTCAAAATATCTGTAAGAAAAATGATTTCTAATGAATCCTGGAGTAATGTAATCAACATTTGAGTTCACTTTAAAGTTCAAAGAGAAAATGTTTTTGAATGAATTCCAACCACTAGGCGTAGCATCAAATTGATCAGAAAGACCGAAAAATGCTCCTAAATCGACTAGACCAAGTCCTTGTTCAATAAATAAATAATCCATATCAGGACCATAAAGGTTACGTTCGGAGCTAGGTTTACTACCGTCTTGATAAAATCGGACCTCGTCTCCAACATTAATATAATTAAGTAGATTAATCTTAGAAAGAAAATGACCTAAATTTGGAACATGAAAACCAAGAGGATATCTTGGAACAATATCATTGTCATTAACAATTCTCCAAAAATTCTTATTGTAATTAATTTGTTGGTTCATAAGTGACTGGAATCCTGATGCGAAATCACTATCCCCAACAAGTGGAGGAGCAAAGGGAATCCCATCACGAATATCTACTTTATCACCTAAACAAGTAGGTGATTGTAATATTCGTGCATAAAATAATGTTGCCAGAGCGGCACCCAATGAATGACCTGTAACCCAAAGATTGACTGGTTGAGCAGTTCGTTTATAAATTTCATTAGCTCTACTACGTATTGCATCAACTAATCTTAAAGCTGGGCATTGTTTTACCGATTTAGCAGAAGAGAATGTATTATCTGTGAAAAGATTGGTATAGAACCCATAATGAGCTTCTCCGAAAAGGAATGATCTTAAAAATAATAAGTTAGTTTTTTTTTAAAAAAAAAGCTATTAAGCGTCAATTTTTTAAATAAAATTTACCTCGCATCTACTCTTTGAAGACTAAAATCAGTTAACCATTCTCCCAAGTCTAGAGGATCTGTTCCTCTAAAGGAAACAATGATAAAGTTATGTTTCTAAGAATTTAAAAAGGTATAATTTTGAATTTGATGGAAAACACAATAATAACATAAATTAAAATTGTATGCTAAGATAAATCTCTATAATATACTTAAAAAAGTTATACCTCCGACCAATATAAGCCACCATAGGGTCCTCCAACAACATTACATTCAGTAATAGAGGTGAATTCTAAGCCAAATTCCTTTGCTTCCTCCCGAATTGGTGCCTCACTTTCAAGAAGCTTTTTAGTAATTTTCTTAATATCTTCACTTCTAGCTTTTTCTGGATTCTTCTTTAATTCAAGTATCTCCTTTTGAGCTTCTTCGACAAGAGCTGTATTACGTTGTCCCATTAAAGCAGATGTATACAAGAGCAATTCTGCCCTGTCTAGATTAAAGTTGGGATACTTGTTATCATCTGAAGGAGTGTCCGGATCGTCCAAAGAAGCAATTCCAGCACGTAAAATTTCCTCTTTTTTTAATAAAAAAAAAAAGATTTGATTTTTGCTTGATTACTGAATTTTGATTTTAAAATACTGGTATTTAATTGAATTTATTTTTTTTACATAACTTACCTATGTCTTTATCAGTAAATGATGACCATAAGTCAACTACTTTTTGATTGTTTTCTGGACTAAATGATTGAATAAAGCCTATAAGTTTGATTGTAGCTTCGAAGAAAAATACAAAGACCGTAAATATAGGAAAGAAGGTAAAAGTGATTATGAATTCTAATGGATTGGTGATAGGTAATGTAATATTAAATAATAATGTAAAGAATAAATAAATTATAACACGTTTAAAATAAATTAAATAAGTTAAAGTTTGAGAAACTAAAGGAATTCGCCGTATAGTTGGACTTAAAGTCGGTTTAGGAGTATTAACCAAATCAACAAAATGAATACGTTGTTCAGGTGATATTTTATTATTATCATCGTTATCATCGACATTAATAACACTTTCTGTTTGAGCCATTCTTTAGATATTTAGAGCTGTATACGTCTGGTTAAAAAGCTCAGGTTCAGAAGAAGCAACTTCAACAAAAAGGGTGAGTGTTTCAAATATTCGGAATTTTCTTTTATTTTTGTCATTTTTTGGACTCATTTACGGAATTTTGCAGCAAAGAAACTTTACGCATTAGGCAAATAATTCCCTTTTTTGGCAAGAAAAAGTCATGAGAAAATTTTTAGGTGTCCCAGAATTTATGAAAACAGCTGTTTGCAAAAATATTACCAATTTTATAATTGTTTAAGTAAAAAAAGGAAATAGATGCTAAATATTGTAGGAAAAAATAAACAAATAATATGGTAATGGTGAAGCTATTACGTGGGGCAAATGGAGTATCGATAAAGCATTCCGTAGTATCGGTATTATTATCATACAATCCGAATTGTACAAATTGCACAGATACAGACTACTGGTACATTAAAAGATTCAATGAATTAATAAATTGAAGTAAATATATATCGATATTGGTTAAATGTGTATGAGTCATTGATGATCGAGACTAAAAATAGCTATGGACATACGTAAATATAGTTAACACACCAAATGGAGGATATAATGGGATAATAAATATATAGACAGAACCAGTCTTGGTAGCTGTTTTCGGATTTATACAGAAACATGAATCTCTTAATGCGCAGTAACTGCATAGTAACTATGTAGTTGCGATTAAATAATAGTAGTTATGTAATTATTACGTCGTTGCTATGCAATTACTACGCATTAGGTATTTAAGTTTCTGTAAAGATTATGCGATAAATAAATTGTGAAAACAATGGTAATATGCAGGATTCATAGAGTTCATAAGATTCATTTATCGCACTAATTCGAGAACAGCAATAATATCAAGAACTGTTGTGGTGATAGAATTAGAATTGATTTTGTAAATTCACACAGTTACGGCATATGACGTATTTTTTCGTAATTACTGCTGTTATGCAGAAATACCATAATACATTTGTCAAAATACCATACTGCATTGTGCATTTTCTTCATGCTGGCTAGTGTTATATATTTTAAAGTAATTTTTTGGAAACAAGACGATATAGCAAATATCAGAGTCATAAACAAAACAGCCAGAGTTATAAATGGGCAGTTTAAGTAGTTAAACTTGTAGTACGTACGTACATACATATCAGTATTAAATTGGGGCAGGTAGAAGTCTGCAATTGCGGTGTATTTCCGAATTCATCAATTTATGGAATTTGCGTAATTTTCAGAATCCGCAGTTAAATAGCCTATTTCTATTAGTCAAATGATTTTAGATTGCAAAATTTGAGGCGTAGCTTATTTGTTGCCCGAAATAATTCTTGACAATTGTCTTAGCTTCAAAATTGCAGAATACTGAACACCTAATTCCGATTAATCATTATTTAAAAAAATAATTCTTGTCGCTATATCTATGCAGGTGATTCAAAAGTTATGTTTTGATGCTTTTATATTTTAAAAAGTAGTTGGATTTTCCGCCCGTCTACACGTGATGTAATCATCTGAAGCACGCAATAATAATGCTGTAGCAAAAATACTATTGAAACTGAATACAATAACGGTTTAATATCGAACCATTTATAAAAGGTGCGATAGAAAATCATGATAAAAATTTTATAAGCAATTATAGAAAAATTTACAATCTATAACATGAACTTTAGATTCTGTAATAGATATAAATTCCAGCTCAATTATTTCTGCATAATGAATAAAAAGAAGTTTGATGAAAGGTAAAAGAGTATTAACAAACTTGAAGAGTTATAAATACGTAAAAAAAAAACGAATGGTTGTTAAAATTTTACATAATATCGTAAAATGTTAATTAGTTTACATTTTCTTCTAAGTTATATTTCTGTATTTTAAAGTAAATAATGTCATTATATTCTCATTTGTATAATGTGAAAATTTAAATCGTTTTTCGAAACTTAAATATACAATTTAATATCATTAAACGTTAAATTAGGGTTGTGAATAGACATAGTCTAATCAAAAATATTTTTGTCTAATTGTCTAATTGCCTATTGGTGTCTATTGTTCTAATGTCTATTTTTCTAATCACTGGTAAAAAAATCAATTATTAGCTAAATAATAACTAGTAATTTCTGGTACAAATTATAACTTATTTACTATATATTTACTAGATAATTTGTGTCATTTATATATTTTTAGTTAATATGTTTAAATGCATATATTACCCAGTAAATATATAGTAAATAAGAGTAAATAAGTTATAATTTGTACCAGAAATTACTGGTTATTATTTAGTTAATAATTGACTTTTTTACCAGTGAATGTTTATTTAATCTATTATATCAGCCAGTTTATGGAACCTAAATTAGCCAATCAGGTTGCTTTAAATTATTTATCTATTTGTCTATTGTCTAATGACTTGATTGGACATCGTTAGACCATTAGACTGTCTATTGTGTCTATTTACTTGTCTTTTGTCTATTCAAACCTTGGTTAAATATTGTCTCTAGGTATTAATATTTGCAATTTGGATATTAGGTCTGAAATCGTACCTGTCCCAGATTTTCTATGTGCTAAATTGGACAATTCTTACGTAATAAGCATTGCTACATTAGGAAATTAAAAAAACAGTTAACTTATACCAACTTAACAGTTTTGTTTAATCCATTATCCATTTGTCCATTTGTCCATCGGACATCCGGATCTGAATTTATTCGAATATCCGGTTTATATCCGTTTACTATTTATATCCAGATAATTGTCGGATCGTCCGGATATCTGAATTTGAATTATCCGGATAATCAGATACGGATAAACGGATGATGGGTTATCCGGATTGGAACTCTAGTTTTGTTAAATTACTACTTATAAAATATACTGTATTTATAAAAATACTTAGAATTCCATAAATATTTATTTATGTTTAAAATATGTATTTATTTATTATTAGAATATGTATTTATTTATTATTAAAATAAATTAAGTATTAGCGTTAGGTTTAAGAATTTTATATTTTGATGCATGTGGCACACCCAGTAAGATCCGGTGTAACGTGAGATCAAATCAATAAATTAATTCGTTAGTAGAGCTTCGATTCTATTTTTCAGGACGATCCTGTTTGAATCCGAATTCTCTTTCAAGAATCCGGTGTTAACTTAGTTGGGAAAGCATAATGAAAGAATATTTAGATAGACAAATTATTTATAAGGACGGTTTTATGAAAATTCTCTTTATTAGGAGAAGAGTTCAAAGGGCATACGACTTCTACTCTAACATAAGGGTAACGCTTATATACATGTGTGGAATCATTAGAGAGACATCATATGATCCAGGGACGATGATTTTCTGTTTTGCTTAAGACTAAATTCTGCGATTTAATGTGGTAAATTTTTAAAATTTTACCAATTTCTGTGATACCTTTTGTAATCTCTGCGGCTTAACGCGCCACTTTTATATATATTTTTTTCAAATCGTAATTCCGCAACTCCCCGACAAGCGTGCTCGTACTTTGTGTTGATGTATTGTCTATCTTTCCGGGAATTCCCGGTGGCTCCAACCTGAATTTATGCGATATCTTAGAATTCTGTGCTACTTTTTTAGAATTCTTTCTGTAACATTCTGCGGTGACTAAGAATGATTTCTGTGGTTAGCTGTTTTTAAGGAGAATTCTGCTGTTTTCTGTAATCGCAGTAAATCATCGTCCCTGATATGATCATTCTCAATGACAACAAACAATTGTCAAGTTAAGGTAATTCCAATACTAATTAATAAATACTGTAACTAAATCTAGTAATTAATACATTAGGGTAGCTGCGCGACGCGGTGGTGTCGCGCTAAAACCAGGAACGAGTATAGATTGGTTTTGAAAATTATATTT